TATGCCACATTAACAGAATAAAGAAAAAATGATATATCAATGAATGCAGGAAAAAGCATCTGACAAAACTCAACATCCTTTCATGATGTCAAAAAAAACTCTCAACAAATTAGGTATAGAAGGAATGTATCTCAACATAATAAAGGCCATATGTTACAAGCCCACAGCTATCATACTCAATGGTGAACTACTGAAAAAGGTTTTCCTCTGAGATCAGGAGCAAGAGAAGGGTGCCTAATCTCAACACATCTATTCAATATGGTACTGGAAGTCCTAGCCAGAGCAATTAAGCAAGAAAAAGAAGTAAAATATATCCAAATCAGAAAGGATGAAGTAAAATTATCTCTGTTTGCAGATGGCATGATCTTATACATAGAAAAACCTAACAACTTCACCAAAAAACTTTTAGAACTAATAAACAAATTCAGTAAAGTTGCAGGATACAAAATCTACATACAAAAATCTATACACTAACAATGAACTATCTGAAAAAGAAAGAAATAGAGAAAACAGTTCCATTTATAGTAGCATCAAAAACAATAAAATACTTAGAAAAAAATTTAACCAAGGAGGTGAAAGATCTGTACCTTACACTGAAAACTACATTGAAAGACACTGATGAAAAAAAGAAGAAAACACAGATTGGGAGAAGGAAGAATTAATATTGTTAAAATGTTCATACTACCCAAAGCAATCTATAGGTTCAATGCAATCCCTATCAAAATTTCAATATCATTCTTCACAGAAATTTTGAAAAAAATTCTAAAATTCCTGTGAAACCACAAAAGACCCCAAATAGCCAAAGCAATCTTGAGAAAGAAGAACAAAGCTGATGGTATAACATTTCCTGATTTTAAATTATGTTTCAAAGCCATAGTAATCCAAACAGCATGGTACTGGCATAAAATGATACAAAGACCAAAAGAACAAAATAGGGAGCCCCAGAACAAACCCATACATGATCAACTAATATTTGACAAGGGTGCCAAAAATATACAATGGGGAGAGGATAGTCTCTTCATAAGTGGTGTTGGGAAAACTGGGATGGAAAAATGAAATTGGACCCTTATTATATACCACTCACAAAAATTAACTCAAAATGAATTAAATATTTAAATGTAAGACCTAAACCATAAAACTTCCAGAAAAAAATACAGGGGGAAAAGTTCCTTGATATTGGCTTGGCAATGACTTTTTGGATATGACACCAGAAGCGCAAGCAACAAAAGCAAAAATAATTGAGACAATAACAAACTAAAAAGCTTTTGCACAGCAAAGGAAACAATTAACAAAATGAAAAGGCAATCTACAGAATTTTAAAATATTTGCAAACCTGGAAAGGGATTAATATCCAAAATATACAATGAATTCATATAACTCAATAGCAAAAAAAAAAAAACCCAATAAACCAAAACCAAAAACACCCAAATAATCCAATTTAAAAATGGTTAAAAAACCTGAATAGTCATTTCTTTAAAGAGGACATATAAAGGTCCAACAGGCACATGAAAATGTCACTAATCATCAGTAATTATCATGGAAATGCAAATTAAATCACAGTGAGATATCACCTCACATCTGTTAGGATGGCTACTATCAAAAAGACAAGGAAACAGATGTCAACAAGGATGTGGAGAAAAAGGGAACCCTTGTACACTGTAGGAATGTAAATTAGTATGGCCATTATAGAAAACAGTATGGAGGTTCCTCAAAAAATTAAAAATAGAATTACCATATGATCCAGCAATCCTACTTCTGGGTATATATCCAAAGGAAATGAAATCAGTATGCTGAAGTGATATCTGCACTCCCATGATCATTGCAGCATTATTCACAATTGCCAAGACACTGAAACTTCCTAAGTGTCCATTGACGAATGAATGGATAAAGAAATTGTGGTACACATACAAGTATAAATTATTATTCAACCATAAAAAAAAGAAAATTCTGCCATTCGCGACAACATGTATGAACATGGAGGGCATTATATTAAGTGAAATAAGCCAGACACAGAAAGACAAATACTGTATGATCTCACTTATGTATTGAATGTAAAAATATAGTTCTCCAAATCTTGCAGTAAATGCTACTCCCCTGCTCATATTTGAAGCCAGAGAAATCAGGAAACATATAAATAGATGGCGGATAGATAGCCACAAAGTAGAGTTACAGGGTTGGGAATCAGACAGAACTACATTGAAATCTCACCTTTGCCATTTACGTGGTATGTGGGCAAGTTGCTGACTCTCATGTAAAAATAAAAGAGATAGTGATTGTAAAGTACATAATATAGTAATTGGCACACAAAGCCTTAATTAAATTATATTTCTCTTTCCTATAAGTATGTTAGCTTTTAGATGTACCTAATTTGTCAAACTACCCAAACAGGAGAGAGCTCATGCTTCTTGTTGCTGTAAATATTTGGTCATTCACTTATTCATTTACTCAACAAACGTTATTAATCAACCATTATGTGCCAGGCATTGTGCTGGGTTCAGGGGACACAGGAATGCAGAAAACACATGATTCCTGCCCCCTGAGAGCTGACCCGGAATTTGACCTCTGTTTTCATCTTTATTCTGGTGGCCTTAAACTCTGCACTTCGTTCGGTGTTAAAGAATAACTATGTCGTACTTTGAGGGCTTGAATGAGAAGGAGTGATCAAGGGAGTTATGAGAACGATCTTTGGTTATCTGAAGGGCTCCCATATACTGGCAGAGAACTTCTGTAGTCCACATTGCTACAAAGGGGGCAGATTTCAAGTTGAAATAAAAGGGAGGTAGAAAGCCTCTCCAAGATGGAAAAAGGTTGCCTCATGAGTAGAGAGCTCTATATCACTATAAGGAAGAGTTCAAGCAGAGATTGAATGGCGAGATCTTTTAATTCTCACACTGGATGGGAGGTTGACCAGTACGATGTCTTCCAACAAAAGAGTCTGTGATTCTTTTATTGAGCTCCCAAGTATGCATAGCAACAGACCAGGACTCTTTGCCCTGGGCTTCTATCCCAAAAGGTGGCCCATGAGTGGAGCCACATTTATCACCCTATTGCCCTACATGATACAAGAATAGGATGCAAAAAGACTACCTCTCCAGAATGATCTCTTCAGCAACCTTCCCCAATGCCAGAATTTCCTAAATTTCTCATTTTTGGCTTTAAGGCATAAGGGTCCTTATTAAAATGCAGTTGTTTGAAGGAAATACTTAAAAACCAGTGGGAACAATTTAAAAAACACATAAATGTCCAGAGGAGGCTCCCACCGGCCAAATGTAGGATAACCCAGCAGGAAAAATTATAACGATGATAATGGAGTATGACATCCTAAAAAAAGAATCCATGTCTGTAGAGACACTAAGAAAAAGAGCTCTTCTTTACAGAAGATGCCAGCCAATAAATTTAGAAGAAATAATGAAATTGGAAAATCACCATTTTGCAGCTATGAAATAACTCACGTAGGAGAGGCTAAAATCTATGTGTGCACTGTTGGGTGACAGGGTAGTCACATGGTCTCGCAGATGACATCAATTACAAGGGAAAAGTTACTATTGCTAAGGAGAGATCTGTCAAGACATCAACCCTAGTAATCAAACTTAGCTTCCCTAACAATGGGACAAACATACTATTTTCTGCCTGGAGTGATACAATATGAAAATATCACCTTTACAGTATTTTTACCTTCATTCTAAACAAATCCAGACCATGGAGCATTCTACAAACAACTGACCTGGACTCTTTAAAAATGTTAATGTCATGAAAGCAAAAAAAAAATTGAGGAAATTTTACTAGAGATTAATAAGACAGCTAAATCAATAACCAAAGGCAGTGAGCAGTCCTTGATGGGATCTTGCATTAAAACAGAAAAGCAGTTAGGTCATTTTGTGGACAATTAGAGAAATCTGAATATATATTGTATATTAAAAAAAATTATACCAATGTAAAATTTCTTGAGTGGATAATGTTTTTATATAGGAGATTGGCTTGCTCTTGGGTGAAGTGTCAAGATGTCTGCAACTTATTTTCAAATGATTCAGAAAATTTTTTTTTAATTTTTTAATTAAAAAATATTTAAATATATGTGTGTGTGTGTATATATATATATAGAGAGAGAGGGGGGAGAGAGAGAGAGAGGGAGAGAGAGAGAGGGAGAGAGAGAAAGCAAATGTGGGAAAATGTTAATAACTGGTGAATCTAAGAGAGGGTATATAGATGTTAATTGTACTTGACTTTCAACTTTTTTTTAACATTTTTAAAAATACAAAGTTGGGGAGAAAAAACATTTCTGTTACTTAATAGCTATAACTCTCTGGCTGGTAAGGGGATCCAAACCCTTCATCTTAGTGTTACCAGCACTGTGCTCTAACTAACTGAGCTAACTGGCCAGCCCCAGTGGCTATAACTCTTGATAGCCATTATGACTTCCCATTTTTTCAGCATGGAATTTATTGGATTATCTCCAGTCACCTACCCAGGCCTTAGGAGAGGGGCACAAATGGCCTGGAAAAGTGACAGGTGTGGTTACCTAGAGCCACACAGCAAGGAACCCGGGGCAACTGGCCACCCAAAGAATGACGGGGCTAAACAGGAAGTAGAGGGGAAAACCAGGGGATGAGCTCCAAGCTTAAATCATGCCCTATTCACTATCCAGTCTCTGGTCAGTCCTGATCACTCCTCGCGGTGTGCGAGGACCATTTGTTACTTTCTGTGCCCCCCACTGCTGACCACTGACCTTTGATTTGAGAATAGAGATTAAATATGTGAGCTTTGGAGAATCTCAGCCCTGCAGAGTGAATTTGCTATTTAGTCCTGTTGAGCCTGAGGTTTCTTATATGTAAATCCTTGGTAGAATTGCAGTGGGTTATGTGAAGTTTTAATGAGATGATGAATGTAAAGCAGTTGATGCATGGTACCAGTGTAATATATGTACAGACGGACGGACGGATGGATGGATGGATGGATGGATGGTCTCAGCTGGATGGATGGATGGATGGATGGATGGATGGATGGATGGTCTCAGCCAGTGGCACTACCGTTCATCCACAACTAAGCAGAAACCTCGACTTGCTGCCTTTGCCTCACCCACCCCCACATCCACATCCAGTTGGTCAGCATGTTCCATCCTCCCTACCTCCAAGTGCCCATCCTAATCAGACCACTCTTCACTAATCTCCAAGGCTGCCACCACCATCTCTTAGCTAGCCTCCTGCAGCAGCCACCCGATGCTCCTCCTGCTTCCACTCTTGCCCCTCTTACCCCCATTACATTCTCCACAGCACTGTTGTCACCCTCCTGTCTGAGCCCTCCTGTGGCTGCTCACCCCCTTGAGTACCGGACATCATGACTTGGCTCCTGGCCAGCTCTCCAACCTCATCTCCTAAACCGTCCCCATTGCTCACTGCATTCCGGCACACAGGCCGCCTCCCTCATGCTCATTCTCCCCTCACTGGCTGCTCACCCCCTTGAGTACCGGACATCATGACTTGGCTCCTGGCCAGCTCTCCAACCTCATCTCCTAAACCCTCCCCATTGCTCACTGCATTCCGGCACACAGGCCGCCTCCCTCATGCTCATTCTCCCCTCACAGGCTTTGCATTTGCTGTTCCCTCTGCCTAAAATGCTCTTCCCCTATGTCTTCACAGGGCTGTCTCTTCCTCCTCCTCCTCCTGACCATCCGATCTAATGTTGTGTACACCTCCACCCCCACTGGTCACTATTACCCTATTTTAGTATCTCCAAAGCACCTGTCCTTATCTAAAATGAACTCATCTGCTTATTTACCCCCGGTATGTCTCCCTTACAGAATGTAAGCTCCAGGGAACCTTGTGTCTTGTTCACCGTCGTAGCGTCAGCACCTGAACCTTGAACGATGCCTGGCATGTGATAGGCACTCAATACATTTGTGAAACAAATTAGTGGATTTTGTAAGTTCATTTCAATAGATGTTCATATAAGGGTGCCCAACGTGTATCACTCTCCCCTGCAGGTCAGGGTGTGTCACTGTACATCCCGCAGTCCACCATCAATGCCACCGTGGAAGAAGACATCCTGCTCTCGGTTGAGTATTCCTGCCTCGGGGTGCCCACCATCGAATGGACATATACGTCCAACTGGGGAGTGCAGAAGATCGTGGAGTGGACACCAGGGGCTCAGGCCAACATCTCGCAGAGCCACAGGGACAGAGTCTGCACCTTCGACAACGGCTCCCTCCAGCTCTTCAGCGTGGGCGTGAGGGACTCCGGCTACTACGTCATCACCGTCACGGAGCGCCTGGGGAGCAGCCAGTTTGGCACCATCGTGCTGCACGTGTCTGGTAAGACAGCCCCAGGGTCTCGGGCGTCCCACCGAACATGCCCCTTCCATGATATTAAAAGAGGCGTTGTCTTCCCCTCCCCCCACCCCATAGAGATCCTGTATGAAGACCTGCACTTTGTCGCTGTCTTCCTTGCTTTTCTCGCTGCTGTGGCCGCAGTGTTAATCAGCCTCATGTGGGTTTGTAATAAGTGTGCGTACAAATTCCAGAGGAAAAGAAGACACAAACTCAAAGGTAACACTCTAGGCCTTGTGATAACCTATTCATGGTTTTGAGGACAGAAGTGGCGTGTGTCAGCTTGTTCTCTCACCAAGAAAGCACTGTATGGCTGATTTTCAACTCATTGACTTGTCTTTTGCTTTTCAGAAAGCACAACTGTGGAGATTGAGCTGCAGGATGTTGAGTGTTAGCCAAGGTTGGGCCCAGTTACATTCCTACCTCGAGGAAAACATTTTCCAACAAAGGAACAAACACAGCCAGTCCACGCTCCAGCCTCCTGTGGTCCTGCCGCAGCAACCCATTCCTGATGGGTCAGGCAGAAGTTAACAAAATTGATTGCATGGAGTTGAAGACTGTGGATTAGACAAAGTCAGTTCTAGGACTTGCTCTAAATTTGAGAAGAGTGACTGAGGCTCGAACCAAGAGCTTTGCTTGGCTGCAGCTTCAGGGCCCAGCTGACCCGTGACCAACAGAGCTGGCTTCTCACTCAAGACACTGTCTCTGGCTGGGGGATGGCCTGTTGGAGGAGTCTGCATCAGAGGCCAGAGTATCTCCAGGCTGACGTGCAGCTGGCACTGGAACATGCTCTCTGTGCTTTTGTACTCCTGTCTGCTCAGCAAACTGCCGTTCCCTCCAACCTCCTATCCCATATTCAACAAGCACTGCTGTGAGAGCTATTGTGGCAAACCCTGAGGCTTTAAACAATCTACTGCTGCAGAAGCAGAGGTGGAGAGAGTGGGGGGATGTTGCTGTACTGTAGTGAGTTGCTCCAAGGTGAGGCCCTGTGGCTTGGAGCTTTAGAGAGCGGACTCAATGCACTCCTGAGGGACCAGCTTTGGATACAACAAACTGGGAGAAAATTATCCTTCTCTTCCTCCTTTGTTCCAACTTTAATTGGATTTTTCCTCCTAGGCCCAAACAGGCCAGTGTGAGGAAAAGACAGTAGCTCATGTCCACTGTGGGCAGCATCTGGCCTCCTGACAAGCTGGATAATGCCACTTTTATGAAAGCTGAGCCTGCACATTGGTGGTACGACTGGAAAATCAGTAATCTTGGGCTTCGGATCTGTCCCTCTGAGTCACTAATACTTCATATTTCAAGTCAGGCCCTTGCTGTCTTCTGCCTGGGCTGAGAAACACGTGGCCCTCACCTACCTCATAGTCAGGGTATTCAGAGAAACCTACAGTAGACATAGAGCTCTCTGAGCAATTTAAAAGCATGAGAATTCTTCAAGGATCTGGAAAGCTAAACTGGGAAGCACTATACTGAGTATTGGAAATCGATAACATGCTTTTGGGGGACTGGGGCTCCAGGTGTGAGATTGGGGACCAGACCACAGCTGGCCTTGGACCTTATTCTCTCAGGCTGTTGGTCACCATGTTTACCTGAAAGTTTCTCCCTCCCAACTTTTTTTGGCAATCTCTAAAAGGAGGCATGAGTTTATTTTCCACTTTCTTTTCTCTCTCCAGTATTCAAAGCTACTGATTGATTGAAGGTACCATTCCAATTATGGGGGAAGCCGAGGTCATTAGCTATGTTCTCAGCCCTCAGCTACAAATTCATCCATGCAAAGGTGAAGTGCTAGACCATTCCTTTCTCTTCTCCCTCCTTTTAGGTTCCCAGTGGGGAACCTACTTTTCTACTTCCCATGTGGCAGGTAAGGAGTTTCCTGGGGAAATTAGAGTCCTTTCCCTAAGGAATGAATCCAGAGCTACAGGAAGGGGTCTGTTGGAATATTCACACAGGGACTGTCAGTGATACAGAAAAGGGCTCCGAAGGCACTATTTGATTCAGAAAGCAGAGCAGCTGTTGTGCACGACTGATTGTAGCTCTAGCACCTGACACATAGAAGGTACTCACCCTCAGGCTACCTCCTGTAAACACGCGTGTAAACATGCACATCTGTGCACTTTCCCCATGCAGCAGACAGAAGAACGAGGACCTGTGCCAGGACAGTTTCCAGTGCCATGGAGAAATGGGGTGAGAAGTACCTGAGAAAAAAGGGGATCAAGGATAATCTATTTCTTTCTCCTCTTTCATACAGAAAGTCCATCAACAGGAAACCAGTTTGGAGTTGGGCAGCTGCTGCAGCATGTGTGTCCTTTTATACCACCTGCTTTTCAGAACTTTCCCTGCCAGATTGTCAGAAGTCAGGGGTGGTCATCTTCATAATAAAAGGAGAAACAGAAAAGAATAACCAGTGAGAGGCCTCCATAGGCAAACTAAGATGTACATTAAATTGTCCCCCAAAAATCTCATGAAAGGTTATTCTATCATCTTTCTATTTCTTTGAAAAAGGGTTTATTTTGCACTTTTAAATAGTTTCCCCCATCCTGAACATTCCTGTGGAAATGTTTTGATTGCAGAGCCTGAGGATTTTGTCTATTTTTTGAAAAACATTAAATCATAGAGATTGGCCAGTATAAATATTAAACTATACGTTATGTTTCAAACTGTGAAAAAAAGTGTTTTAAGGAACGAATGAAATAAAACATGAAACTAAAGCCCTGGTCCTTTGTGTGAGCGCATTGCTGCCAAGTACTTGAAGGCTCTGGGTGATGTTTCCAGTCAGTACTGGGCATAAATAAAACTCTCAACCACAGGCACAGGACTGGCAAATATTTTAAACGACAATGGAACTAATCACATTGTTGTAACAGTAAACATATTTTAGCACTTCAGAAAACCACCTTATTAGCAGTACCTTTCTCCCCTGTATTGTAGCCAGAAGACTAATTTGAAATTTGTACTTCCAGATTAATTGTAATGCAGTCCTTTTTTGCTTCTGGAAAGGGCTGAAACTAGCATGTGACAACTGTACTGCCTAGTTCAAGGGTGCAAAAGATGCCGTACAAAACATACATGCTTTGTCAACAGAAGGTATGCTCAGAGATTATGATCTAAGAACCCAAAAAGGTATATATTGTACTTTCTCATTTCATGGTGTTCTGGGTATGCCAGGAGAACTGAAACAACCCACATCCTCTGAGGTCCACATAAGATGCTAAATAGCTGAGCGCACTTCACGTTTACTCTAATTTAGTAAAGCAATACCACACAAAGGTGAGGAGCACAGGCAGGGAGAGATAAAGTCATCAGTATGTCTTGCCTAGTGCAAGGATGCAGAGACAAGCCCTAGAGAGGGTGCAGTTCAGAAGGGCTACATAAGTGTAACAAATGGGCCAAAAAGAGGTGGCAGAATAGAATGCTGGAGATGTAACCATGACCAAAGAGGAAACACGTGATAAGGTGAACCCCCAGGGATATGACTCATATGCAGTCTTCTTGACATCAGAGGGGATACTGGGGAAAACGGAAACCCCCCTGCTTTCTTGGGAAGCATCAGAGACACCTATAGTTTATTGAAAGCACAGCAAACCCCCATGGTTATTATGAGCACATCTATCAGCAACTTAATTCCTGCTAATGAATGGTGTGGGCTGCCAGTGCGGGTGGCTCTGCACACCGAATCCATCCCTCCCTGTGGCCAGCTTTTCCAATCCTTGAGGAGAACATGGTTGCCTACGCCACTATTTCCACTGCCTTTTAAAAATTAGGTGGGTGGGGCCGGCCCGGTGGCGCACTGCTACAGTGCACCGCTTGGGAAGTGCGGCGGCGCTCCCACCGAGGGTTTGGATCCCACATACAGACCGGCCGCTCACTGGCTGAGCGAGGTGCAGGGGCAACACCGAGGGTTGCGATCCCGTTGCCGGTCCCAGTCCGGTACGGGCGCGACACTGAGGGTTGTGATCCGTTGCTGGTCACGAAAAAAGACAAAAAGGAAATAAAAATAAATAAATAAATAAATAAAAATTAGGTGGGTGGTTTTGGTTTAGTCTAACTACAAAAGTGATAAATCCTTCTTCAAAATTCAAATGATACTGAAGTTTATTTATAAAGTAAAAGTTCTCCCTCCTTTTTCAATTCTACTTCCCAGAGAGAACAATAGTTAAATTTGGTGTATATCCCTCTAGACTTGCTTATGCATATATGAACGTTCAAAATTCAAATGATACTGAAGTTTATTTATAAAGTAAAAGTTCTCCCTCCTTTTTCAATCCTACTTCCCAGAGAGAACAATAGTTAAAATTTGGTGTATATCCCTCTAGACTTGCTTATGCATATATGAACATATCTGTCTACATATACACCACAATATACATATTTAACCTATTTTCAGTTAAGTGGGATTCTATTATACATATTACCTGAAAACTTGCCTGTTTTCTCTTACTGTGTCTTTGGCATTATTTCGTGTCTGTACCTATTTCGTTCTACCTAAATTTCATTCTTCTTTCCTGCACAATATACAGTCCATAGCATGGATACATTATAATTGTTTGTCCACTGAAAAACTGCTTTTTATTTCAAATGCTGTATACACAAATAAAAATCTTGGGCAAACTTTCTATTACATCAGACTAGTTTCTTCAATCAAGATGTTAACTAATACATTCAGCTCTGTCTCCTATAAATCTCTTCCTCTTTCAGGGAATTCAGAGTCAATGTTTAACAGGTTTTATGTAAAGTTTGTTGAAGAGTGAATAGGGTGGGAGTGAAGAAGGGTGGGAGAGAAGGTATTACTAGTGTAAAGTATGTCTAGTTTAAGCTTTAGATTTGGTCTTATAAAGTGCACACAGGTAGGTTAAATTCCTTTGATGTAACAGACCAGTGGTTGTTCAGGCAGTTCTGTCCCTAAAAATATTTTTCCCTCAGGTACCTCATGTTTAGAAAAGATTTTCTCCTTCTAAGCCAAGTGAACCTATTAAATAATTGTTTCCTATATTTATTCATCAACAACACATAAGTCCTAATCAGAATTCCTCATCAACAAGAGATAATGAGGGGTTTCACTTTGATTTGATGGTGTATTGCAAAGAAATTTGATGGTGAAGTTTGAGAAGGTAAATGTATGATTTCCATTAGGCTTTTTCAAATACCAGACACAGATCGCTGATAGCTCTCCATTACTACCTCTTTGGTTCCCAAGAGGCTCAGATTGGGACCACTTGTAAAGAAAGTTAAAAGAGACGTCATGGATAGATTTGGGTGAAAAAGGAGATTCTGTCACCAGCCTCCCCTTGGCATAGTCACTAAATCATCAGGGAGTTTTCCAGATTGCATGTTACCTTTGTATCTCAAAACTCTCACTCATCTATAAAGTTTAAGTCAAATACAGTCTGCTCTACTACAACAATTATTTGCATATAAGAGACTCAGAAAGGCAGTTTTGTTTTTGATTTTTGTGCCTGGCTGGTACAGGGATCAAGCCCTGGACCTTGGTGTTATCAGGACCATGCTCTAACCAACTGAGCTAACTTTTAGCTTATGAAGACAATTTAACATGCAAGTTTTTTGGTTCTTAAGCAAGGGGAATCAGAATATAGGGAGCAAAAAAACTCTGAGGCCATCTGAGCTCTAGTTTTAGAGAAGTAGAAACGAGCACCTGTACCTGGGGATCCTGTTGTATAATCAAGTTAGCCATTTTCTTATTGAAGGACATTTAGATTGGTCTCAATTTTTCCCTTTTACAAAGAGACCTCCTCAATAAATCTTTATCCAATGATCTTTTATAAATCTGTGCTTTGTTAAGTATTTCTGTAGGATAAATTTCTAGACATAAACTTGCAGTTATGAAACAGTAAACTTAAAAACAATGTCAAAGCTGTGGTCACTGACTTCTGAGTATAATTGTATCTTAGTGCTATGTCAAAGAGACATAGGGTTTCTCAGTTGTGAACTACCTTTATGTCAATAAGGCTTGGGAAAGAGTTACCCTAAAGATTTGAAGAGACTCTAGCCCCAGGTATGTAAGCCATCAAGGAGGAACAGGAATGGAGAAGTGGAACTGAACAAACTGAAGATAAAGGCAGAGAGTGTGGAGAGAGGAAGACCACAGAGCGTGGCTTTGAAAGGTAACTGTAAGAAAACAAAATCTTCACAGCCACAAAAGCACTGTCTTCACCATATACAAAACATCTATAAATATGAATACAAGACATTTCGAAGCACTTTCTCCTAATGATACATAAAGCTGGTATCTCAACTTTTTCCAACTTCTAATTGGCTTGACTCTTACAATAACAGTTGCTTAACGCTTCATATTTGTATAGCACCTTAGAATTTAACATCCATTTCCAACCTTCGAAACCTCTGAACCACCTTTCACGTTCCCATTTACAGTCATGTCACTTAACAACAGGGATTTCATTGTGTGAACATCATAGACTGTACTTACACAAACTTAGATGGTATAGTCTACCACACACCTAGGCCTCTATGGGATAACCATTATAATCTTACAAGACCACTACTGTATATTTGGTCTGCGGTTGACAGAAATGTTATGCAGTGCATGACTGTACATACAGATGCTCCTCAATTTACGATGGCTTTAAGTCGTAACATACCCATCATTAAGTATCACGAGTTGAAAATGCAGTTAATATATCCAGCCTACCAAACATCATAGCTCAGCCTAGCCTGCCTTAAATGTGCTCAGAACACTTACATTAGCCTACAGTTGGGCAAAATCATCTAGCACAAAGCCTGTTTTATAATAAAGTGTTGAGTATCTCATGCAATTTATTGAATACTGTTCTGAAAGTGAAAAACAGGACGGTTGCATGGGTACTCAAAGTAGTTTCTACAGAAAGCATATTGCTTTCACACCATTGTAAAGTCGAAAAATCATAAGTCGAACCATCGTTAGTAGGGGACCATCTATAAAAGGAAACAGGTATGGAGGATAACCTTGTCAAGCTCATACAGCTAGCCAGTAAGAAGAAACGTCCAAACACAGCTCTTTTTGCCAACCTGTGAAACACTTGTTGAGGGACTAATTGGTTTTCTCCAGCCTGTCTCCCAAGTTCCACAGCACATCCAACTCCAGGTCATTCAGGTCAAAACATTAAACTGGAAAATGTAAATAATCACAAGACACAAGAGTTGCTGGTATAGCACCTAAACTGCAATTTTCCCCACATCTGCTTTAGTTTCTACAATTCCTTATGTGGGTAATGGCTATTCACTAAACAGTGACAAGTGAATGGGGAAAGGAAGACATATGAAGATCATTACTTAAGTTATCCCACTCTACTAAGATGGTGATGTAAACAGGTAGTTATGTACACATATATTCTCATTCATTCTACAAAACGTGCGGTCCTGGTCCATGAACTGTTACTGGTTCATAACAAGTTAAGCAAAGAAAGAGAAAGTAAAGCATTCAGAAATCTTTATATTTGACAACTTTATGTCTATTATAATCAGATAAAAGAGGCCTTTTAGTTTGTATCTTATAGAAACTGGCCCTTTCGTGAAAGTTTGAGACTCACTTAACTAGTTGAAATCACATAAAAAACTTATTTGAGTAGAGCCATACAGATTAGCCTACTAGTCAAGGCAAATTTTCTGAACCACCATTGAAGCGCTAGAGATTTTCAAATAACTAACTGCAGATTCATACCAATTATTTTAATTTCCATGGGCAGAAAGATGCAGT